TCCCAGCTACTTGGGAGGCTGAGGCAGGAGAATTGCTTGAACCTGGAAGGTGGAGGTTGCAGTGAGCCGAGATCGAGCCACTGCACTCCAGCCTGGGCGACACAGCGAGATTCTCTATCAAAAAAAAAAAAAACCAAAAAAATCCTTCTGATGTTGAGTGTGGTGTAAAAGACAACCAACACTAAACACGTTCTAGTATAGGAAGTGTCAATTTCAGCATTTCTAAAAAGCACATTTTCCACATTCTAGCACTCTGAAGGTGGGATGTATCACTGTTATCTAATATTCCATAAATACCCTATGTATGGAGAGACAATATAGCAAAATGGCTAAAAGCTCAGCTCCAGAGCCTGTTTCCTCATTTATAAAAAGTGAAAAATGATGGCATGTACTTCATAGGGTTCTTGAGAGCATTAAAAGATGTACTTCAGGCCGGGCACAGTGGCTCACGCCTGTAATCCCATCACTTTAGGAGGCTGAGGCGGATGGATCACCTGAGTTCAGGAGTTCGAGACCAGTCCAGCCAACATGATGAGACCCTGTCCCTACTAAAAACACAAAAATTAGCTGGGCGTGGTGGTGCGTGCCTATAATTCCAGCTAACTAGGAGGCCGAGGCAGGAGAATCGCTTGAATCCAGAAGGCAGACGTTGCAGTGAGCCTAGCACACGCCACAGCACTCCAACCTGTGAAATAGGGTGAGACTCCATCTCGGGGGAAAAAAAATTGTACTTAATATAAAGTGCTTAATATTCTGCCTGGCAGATGGTAAGTACTATATTAGTGCTGGCTATCATTAGCTAGTATTATTAGAAGTACTACATGTCAGGCACTAAGCTTTTTATACATTATTTAATTCTTAAAGTTTCCTGCAAGGTGGGTATAATTTCCAGAAATTTAAACGAGTTATGCAAACTTCTCAAGGTTAGGTCAACCACTAATTATTGGCAGAAATTATGTTAGATCCTAGGGCCACATGACTACAAAGGCCATGACCTTATTATTAGCCACTTGACTATTTGATGCCATCAAAGCTTTAAAAGAACATAGTAGGTCTAAGAAACCAAGGAGTTTAAGGAAGAAAATTAGGCCTCCATATATACAGGCAGGCAGATAAGAAATGAAAAGCCCTGCCTACTTGGCTTACAATGCTCCTGTTAAGAGAGAAAGATGCAAATTATTTGATCTTTTTTTAATCCTTGCCACCATTCTCTTCTATTCCTGCAAAAAACCTGAATGTATACACACTAGCATAACATTTGAGCAACTTAATTTCAAAGTCTGAAGTCAACTTCTTCAAAACTGCGTTAAGGGCTGAGACAATGTTTATAAAATAAAAGAAGCTGGCCAGACACGGTAGCTCATACCTATAAATCCCAAAACTTTGGAAAGCCAAGCCCCATAGATCGCTTGAAGCCAGGGGTTTGAAATCAGCCTGGGCAACATAGTGAGACCCTGTCTCTACAAAAAATACAAAAATTAGCTAGGCATGGTGGCACATGCCTGTAGTCCCAGCTACCTGAGAGGCTGAGGTGGGAGCATCACTTGAGCCCAAGAGGTTGAGGTCGCAGCGAGCCATGATCATGCCACTGTACTCAAGCCTGGGAGACGGAGTGAGATGCTGTCTTAAAAGAGTAGTAAGTAAACAAACAATAAAGAAAGAAGTAAACTAAATAGTGAAGATAAACTGATAAATCTTAGCGCTGTTTTTTTCAACTGGCACAAACTGTTACTCATCCCTATCAAGTTACAGGTGGCCTGAAAATGGCTTTGAAAATTGTTTTTTTGTGTGTTTAAAGAATATCACCTATTTTACATTCATTGTAATGTCTATGTCAGACACTTTCAATAAAGGAATAAAATATTAAAACTTCTCATTAATATCTTTACACTACTTACTGGGCCATTTCAATTTTGTTTCACTTTGAAATAAAGAGACATTCCAGGACCAGGCTTAAAACTGGAAAAAACAACTTAGCTAGGCTGGAATGATTCAAAGAATAAGCTGAGTTCCCACCCATCCCCTTCTTTGACTACCTATAGTCTTTTCTCTAGAATCTGGCTTCTCACTGGACTCTGAAATGTCTATACCTCAAGAAATTCCAATTGAGTTCAACTGAAAATGCAAGTAACTTCCCTTTTTTAAGAAGAAAAGCATGGAACCAAGTAACTTTTTCAAGTAAATAAGATCATAGCCTAATATACAACTAAAAATTATCAGTGGGTTTGAATTCTAGCTTTTGTGTGTGTGTGTTTCAGAAGGAACAGAGATTTAAGCAGGCCAAAACAGTGGCTGCCTTTGCATTGGATTCAAGTAAACTTGAGTGCCTCTGTGTTAAGCTCTTCTACATACTTTTTTTCAATTCCTAAAAAAAATCTGTAGTGAGTCATCATTTCCATTTTACATTTAGAGAAACTCAGGCTCAAAGACAGTAACTTGCCCCATACCGCACATTTAGTGACAGCTGGATTTTGAGCCTAGGTTCTTTGAATCTAAGGACCCTGTGCTCTTTCTACCAGCCGAAATTTCCCTTTCACTGTCACTGGCAATACCAACAGCTCAAAATGACAAAAATTGAAGTTTTATATTCTCCCCAAGAATAAGATTCCTTCATTGTTTTTTCATGGGCTCTACTCTTTTTCTGAATTTCTTCTGTTGTTCAAACAATACTACCATCCAACGAAGCTCTCCTTTCAGTTCTATCAGACATTTACATTACAGAACGACCCATCCAGCTAACAGAAGTTAATAAGAGACTCAGAAGCCAGTAAAACAAAACTGACAGAAGCAGTAATCTAATTATAAAGACAAGACTAAGGTCAGGCAATTCAAAAACTCTTTTTTTCCCCCTTATCAGAGGCCAGCTAAGGCAAGGAATACATCTTTTAGACGATCCCTAATATTTACAGATTAAATCCACCAAGATGTGTATTTGCCTATGCAAGAGTCACAGTGCACACGTGAAACATCTCCGGTGAATCCAAAGTGGTCTGAGGTCCCTCCCTCCGTGCTTTCCTCTCACTGTTCACATCATCTGCTGACTTGTTACCTACAGCGTTCCCCATTACCAGTTCAAGCAAGAAACTGAAACCTCCTCAAAAAGTCAGCGTAATACATTCATTCAGACTAAGTATTTTTACATTAAAAAAAAAAAAATCCTTGAGGCTGGGTGCAGTGGCTCACACCTGTAATCCCAGCACTTTGAGAGGCCAAGGCAGGTGGATCACCTGAGGTCAGGAGTTTGAGACCAGCCTGCCCAACCATGGTGAAACCCATCTCTACTAAAAATACAAAATTAGCCGCGCATGGTGGCCATGCGCCTTTAATCCCGAGCTACTTGGGAGCCTGAGGCAGCAGAATCACTTGAACCCAGCGAGGTTGCAGTGAGCCAAGATCACGCCACTGAACTCCAGCCTGGGGGACAGACTGAGACTCTGTCTCAAAAAAAAAAAAAAAAAATACCCTGAAAAACAACAAGTTTTTCAGTGCATTTTATTTTAACAAAGTTGATGCTGGGTTAATAATTGTGAAATCTATTTCAAGGATAATCGTAAATACAAACGCTTACTCTATGTCAGATTTCATGGTATAAACTTTACAAATCTACACTATAATTCATTTAATCCTCTCAGCAAGCCTACCAAGTAGGTATTATTATCTTATTTTACAGGTGAGAAAATTAAGGCTCAAAGAAGGGGGAAAAACTCTCCCTAGATCACACAGCTAAATAAATGAAATGCCACATACAGATTTTCCTGACTTCAGTACATGCCTTAACCACTAAAATTTAAGTTTTGCTGTATTTTCAGATAGACATAGGAGGACTTTTACAAACATCCTCCAAGTAAAATTCCATCAGTAACTTAGCTAAAAATGTTATTCAGGTTAAAACGTAAGTAATTTTTACCATACTATGAGAGAATTAACAAATGTAATTTGGCTACATTTTATATTATAGAAAAGCTGCATGAACAGCCCAGGTATTACAGGCACTGTGCATTACAGATTAAGATAACAACATTAATGATTCCGGTCATCTTGACCATACATTAAAGAAAACATTCTTTAAAGATATAAAATCCCACATGGATACAAGCAACAACCAACTGTTCTAAGGACAAGAATAATTTATAGAAATGAAACGCCCATCCAGTGGACCTGGGGTTCAGTCTCATCTCATGTACTTCACTGTCCTTGTATATGTAACTAGCTATACCTACGGCATTATCTCAACTTACACCTTCCACTCATCCATCATGACCAAGGTTAACCTCCTCCTCTTACCCCTTTAAAGCCCCTAAACCTCCATCTCTTTTCCCTAAGCAAAGTGAAATCATTTCCCTAGTCTGCTTACACTGGCACACCTTTTATTATTAGAGTGCCTATTAAATTTAAATCTTCACCATACATAGTGATTTCCCTTAGCAACTTCAATTGTTTCAGCAACTTCAGAAAGGTAGATTAAAAACAAAACAGGACTTGCAAATAAACCCAGCCCTTACTACTGTGTGATCTTGGGCATTTATTTGTCCAGCAATCTTCATATATCTTACAGGTAACACCTAGCAAAATATCCCACAGATAAAGCCACCTTCCCCCTAACCAAAGTGTGTGTAAACTGTCTTTAATGTTTTGTTGAATGAAAGACATTTCCTACAACTGATTTATTTATTTATTTATTTATTTATTTATTTATTTTTTTTGAGACAGAGTCTCGCTTAGTCGCCCAGGCTGGAGTGCAGTGGCCCGATCTCGGCTCACTGCAAGCTCCGCCTCCCGGGTTCATGCCATTCTCCTGCCTCAGCCTCCCGATTAGCTGGGACTACAGGCGCCCGCCTCCTCGCCCGGCTAATTTTTTGTATTTTTAGTAGAGACGGGGTTTCACCGTGTTAGCCAGGATGGTCTTGATCTCCTGACCTCGTGATCCGCCCGCCTCGGCCTCCCAAAGTGCTGGGATTACAGGCGTGAGCCACCGCGCCCAGCCCCTACAACTGATTTATAACATGCTTCCCGAACTGATTCAAAAACTACTGACAAGGTTCCCCATTGGAAAATCAGACTGACTTTCACTTAATAGGTTATACACCATGGTCAATAGACTTATAATTTATTACTCAATGTACTGAGCACTAAGGTACTCAACAGTGCCCAAAGAGAAGGGAAAGCCAACTATTTATAACTTTGAAACGGAAACTGAGTTCGCGTCTCTAATAAAAAGGTCACGTCCCTAATAAAAAGGCCTGCTGAAGCTCACTGCATAAAGTTTGTTCATTCTCTCTCTCCTTAAACTGCTAATTTATGGCTATGGCAGGCAGAATAATGGTCTCCCAAAGATAACCACATCCTAATCCTGGAAACCTGTGAATATTAGTTTACACAACAAAGGAGAATTAAGGCTGCTAATCAGCCAACCTTAAAATAGGGAGATTATCCTAGATTATATAGGTGGGCCCAATGTCATCAATCACAGCATTCTTACAAAGTGGAAGAGGAAGGAGAGTCAAGGAAGAATATGTGATGAATGCCAGAAGTAGGGTCAAAGTGATGCATGTAAGAACTAGACCTGCCTTTGCGGCGTTTGGAGATGAAAGAAGGGATCAAGAGCAGCCTCTAGGAGCTGGAAAAGCCAAGAAAAGAGATTCACCTCTAGAGCCTCCAAAAACGAATGAAGCTTGGCCTACACTTTAATTTTAGCCCACTGAGACCTATGTCACTTTTAACCTCCAGAACTGTAAGGTAAAAAATGTGACGTTTTATGCCACAAAGTTTGTGGAAATTTGTTACAGCAGGAATAAAAAACTAAATGTTTTGGGGTGTTTTTCCTACATTAACTTCTTTAGAGTCCTTTGAGTCACAATGGAGATACACTGGGAAATTACAAAATCAAGTTTAAGAATCTCTAATGGAGAGTGAGAGACTTCGGTGGACATGGCTCCCAGCGTGCCAGCAGCAGAACCCGAGTATCCTAAAGGCATCTGGGCTGTGCTGCTGGGGCCTCCCGGGGCCTGTAAAGGCACCCAGACACCCAGATTGGCTGAAAACTTCTGTGTCTGCCATATGGCTACTGGGGACATGCTGAGGGCCATGGCGGCTTCTGGCTCAGAGCTAGGAATAAAGCTGAAGGCAACTATGGATGGTGGGAAACTGGTGAGTGATGAAATGGTAGTGGAACTCATTGAGAAGAATTTGGAGACCCCCTTGTGCAAAAATGGTTTTCTTCTGGATGGCTTCCCTCGGACTGTGAGGCAGGCAGAAATGCTCGATGACCTCATGGAGACGCAGAAAGAGAAGCTTGATTCTGTGATTGAATTCAGCATCCCAGACTCGGCTGATTCACCCCAAGAGTGGCCGTTCCTACCATGAGGAGTTCAACCCTCCAAAAGAGCCCATGAAAGATTGCATCACTGGGGAACCCTTGATTCGTCGATCAGATGATAATGACAAGGCCTTGAAAATCCGCCTGCAAGCCTACCACACTCAAACCACCCCACTCATAGAGTACTACAGGAAACAGGGGATCCACTCTGCTATCGATGCATCCCTGACCCCTGATGTCGTGTTCGCAAGCATCCTAGCAGCCTTCTCCAAAGCCACATCCTAGTATCGGAAGGCCAGACGAGACTACACCACTGCTCATCAGCCCGCGGCGTGATCCCTGCTCTTAGGTGCTAGGCAGAAGGGAAGGGTGGTCAGGGTGAGGATGGTGAGGGAGGGCTGGTGAGGGGCTCAGAGGAATACTGGGAACAACAGTAGTGTTATTGTAGTGTGGCAGTTTCTTTTATACATAGGTGGGAGTTTTTAAAGTGTAAGGGAAAAATTAATTTTTAAAAAAATACCATGCTTGGAGGGTGGGGGTAGAAATAGAGAGATACAGTATTGTTTCTAAGGAATCGGGTTTTCATTTACTCTGGACTGGTGAAAATATTTTTTAAAGCCAGTGCACTAAGATGTCAGCTTTTATCTCAGAACCCCATGGGTTCCAGACCAAGAGTACAGGAAATCAAATTGTTGTCCTGTGTGTCTATAGCTTGCAACAGGGAGGCTTTGATTACTGACCCTGGTTCCACACACTGTAAGATCAAAAAACCGTCTCCACATTTGAAAGAGACGTAAGGTGTATTCGCAGGGATGGTGGCTCAACAAATCAAGCATACTGGAATCAAGGGGAGGGGGAAGGGAATGGAATGGAAAGGGAGGCTGATTCCCTTCCCCTGACTTACCACTGATTTACTAGGCTACCTACTCTCATGAGTAACCTCTCACAGCTACCCAGCACATGCCAGTCCTATGCTTCTTTTATCTGCAGTGTGTGAAGGGACTCTTTTAAATAAATGAGCAAGTGTCCTAAGCTATGTCATCCAAAGATTGTCCTTTCCATTATCAAATCCTGTGACTGGGATCACTCAACAGCACTGTGATGTATTATTTTCAATGAGGTACCTTTCTTAACTGACCAAATGCTGCTTTGTTTGGCCCCTAAATCAATAAAATGTTAAAATTTGTAAAAAAAAAAAAAAAAAAAAAAAAAATTCTCTAATGGAATGGGGAAACATTTCATTGTACAAAACTTAAAATTTGGAAGGAAAAGTGCCACCACACAAGATGGCATACTTCTAGTATGGCTAAGTAGACACTGTCAGGGCAAACCACTGAATAACTATAAACTCTGGACAAAATATTTTATAAAAACAAAAGCTTTCTGAAGGCCCTGGGGAACAACCAAACAGGCAGACACAGAAGGGGAGTCTACATGCATAAAAAGCCAATGAGGTTTTTGTTTTTCCTTTACATCTTTTAGCCTGAAGGCAGGCCTCACTTAGAGTTTAGAACAACAACAGACATGGTAAAGTGGGAAATCCCAGAAAAGGAAGAGTCAGAAAGGGGGAGGGAGTCCTATACATTCGGTATATAAATTCTACGGAAATCTCTGGCTGAACCCTGAACCATGCATGTACATGCTGCAGACTCCAAGGAATCTAGCTAAAAGAACAGAACCAATATTTGATCTGCTGCCCACAAGGGATATGGATAGCAACAACAAAACACACTATTTGGAGGAATAAAACAGGATCTAGAACCTCTACAACATTATCATTCACAAAATTCAGCATACAATCCAAAATTGTTCAACATATGGGAAACAAACAAAAAAGGAAAACACATTTTCAAGAAGAAAGAATCAACTAGAAACTTCAGGACAGCTATAATCATGCTTAAAGACATAAAGGAAAATATCCTCAATGAATGAAAAAATATACAATACAGATGGTCCGTGACTCACAATGGCCTATCGTGCAATTTCCCAACTTTAAAGCATGATGAATATTCAGCATGCTCCTCGATTAAGTCCAGATAACCCCACTGTAAATTGAAATTTACATACTTTCAATTTACAGTGGGTTTAATCAGGATGTAATCTCATTGTAAGTAAAGGAGTATCTGTAATTGAAAATGCCACCACAATCCTCTCACCTTCAAAACTACAGTAGCAGCTTGGGAATGAGGCAGTGGTAAGTTCTAAAGTGGCATCAACATTACAGAAAAACCATGGGCAATTACTGAAGAAGGGAATAAACTTATTCTGATTATCTATTACTCCATAATTTATAACTTTTAGTCAATTACTACAATCACCTATGAGGTATTATCTCACTTTACAGAAAAGAAAAATGAGGCTCAAAGAGATTGTGATGGCTCAAGGTCACACAAACTAGTACTTAATTCTGGCCATATTTTAAGCAACAATGAGCTGAAAAGCCTCTTCAAGAGAATGGCAGCTAGCAAAGCAGAAATTAGAATAGGCAATTTATTTGAAAGCATAATCATTAAAGGTTTCTCATTTAGGCCGGGCGCGGTGGCTCACGCCTCTAGTCCCAGCACTTTGGGAGGCCGAGGCGGGCGGATCACCAGGTCAGGAGATCAAGACCATCCTGGCTAACACGGTGAAACTCCGTCTCTATAAAAATACAAAAAATCAGCCGGGCATGGTGGTGGGCGCCTGTAGTCCCAGCTTCTCGGGAGGCTGAGGCAGGAGAATGGTGTGAACCCGGAAGGCGCAGCTTGCAGTGAGCCGAGATCGCGCCACTGTACTCCAGCCAGGGCTACGAGCCAGACTCCGTTTAAAAAGAAAATAATAAATCAATAATAAAAAATAATACTAAAGGTTTCTCATTTAGGAAAGGAACTTAGGTAGACTTTTCTTGTACTTTTCTTGATACTTGCTCGGTTTAATGTGAAATCCCACTACTTGTGAAAGGTTAGAAGGGCCTGGTTATATAAGCAATAGAACAGCCTCACAATGGAATGCTATGGAGCATTAAAATGACAGTGTAGAAATGTCTACTGATAAGGAAAGCTGATCAGAATACATTACAAAAAAGCAGGCTACCAAACAGTATAAATAATATCTTCCCCATTTTGTAAAAACTAATTATCTGTAAGGTCTGTTAAGTGTAGACATCAAAATGTTAACAATGGTAATTTCCAGGTTGACAAGACAATGGATGATTTTTATTTTTTGAATTATTCTATGTGCTAATCTCAATACTGTTTTTTCTATAACGTATTACATGTGTAATAAAAATTAAACTTATTCATCAACTCAAATATTGTGTACATACTGCATATCAGGTACTATTTGTTTTAAAAAAGCGGGGAGGGAGAGGCGGAGCGGGAGGGAGACAGAGAGGCAGAGAGGGAGAGAGGGAGAGAGGGAGAGGGAGAGTTGTAGAAACATTAAACCTGATTAAAATGGTCCTCCACTACCTCAAGTTGTTCTTTTTCATTGTTAAAACTGCTTTTCAATTTATACTTCTAGCCCCTTTGCCTCAAAAACAAAAGAAAATCTACAGGCACTCTTATTTCTATTCTTTCTACCATGTCTGATGCTCATCATCTTTCACCTAGCATTCTGCAAGAGCCTCTTATCTACTTAGTCTCCCAGTTTCTGGGTCCAAATCAAACCCATTCCACCCTCAGTCCTATCCAGTGACCCATCCAAAACAGAAACCAGATCTTATTTCTGTACTCTGAAACCTTTCACTGACTTCTTACTGCCTCTGAGATAAAATCAAATTCTTCAGTATGGCACGCAAGGAGCTCCAATATCTGGCCCCTGTCTCTCCCTTATTTCATTTGGGAACACACCTTACCTCCAACAGCAGAGGTGGCTTCTCATACATACCGATCTTTTTCTTGCCAACAAGGCTTTTTTTAAGTTGTCCTTTCCACCTAGAATACCCTCTGACCCCATGCCCAATCTGTTAGTACTACCTTCAGGAAAAATCTTATGCACCTTGAAACCACATTGGATGACCCTATTCACATCTCTAACACTGTGCTTTTACATCGTCTCATATTTATCTTAAAGTTCCTCTTACGTGAGACTATCAATTCCAAAAGAATGGGAACTAAGTCTTTTCCTTATCTGTAATATGAGGAAATAGTAGTATCAACCTCAAAAATGGGATGTGGAATGTAGATATTTAACTCAGTGCTTGGCATACAGAAAACAGTTATCAAATGACTATCATTATTATCCACTCTGTTACCTAGAGCTCAGCAGTGCATGACCTACAGTAAGACTTCATATGTTTACTGAAAGACTGAACTCTGCAAAAAGGAATATTCCCATTTTACAACTGAAGAAACGAGGAAGATTAATAGCACAAAGTCATAGAGCCACAAAAGGCAGTTAAGCTACCATCCAAACTCGAGTCTAACTCTTAAAACCCTGAATTCATTCTCAACGCACATACACTATCTCCCTCTTGCTGAGAAATGACTTAACCTATTTTACTCCTAGAAAACAAACAAAACTAAGGCTTCTTTCCAGTATTACTTGTGTAACAGGCCCTGTTGTTATAATCGACATTTCTGGAATCTGCATTTTTAGATTAACATGAAGGAGTGTTTCAACTTCTCTGCAATTCAATTTCCTTGCCTACAATGAGATGTACTTGGATCTCAAACAGACCATTTAACCTCTAAAATCCTGTGATTCTTTAACTGGGTGCAGTTATTTGCGGCACCGTTCTTTCAGAGTTAGTTTGATACCATTTATTTACCCAGCATTTCCGATATGCAAAGCACAAGTGCAGTACATCAAACATTGGTCACCCTTTTCCAGCCCTAAGGAAGTTCTCCGTAAGCCTTCACGAAGCAAGCCAGAGCTCTCCAGTATGCTGCAACCTAACAGCATCCAGGTCACTAGGCTTGAAATGCGAGGTGCCTCCTTCGGGGCGGGGGTCTTCGAAACTGATCTGGCCAGGGCAGGCCTAGATTCTGCGCTACAGCGAAATAGCAAAAAAACAAAACAAAACAAAAACACATCACCAAGCAGCCCCTCTTTTCTGTCCTCCTCGATCAAACTAGGAGTACACTTCCCAGTCTGGCAGCCCTCCCTCGAGGCTTCTCACTCACGGTGGGGCTGCAGCGGCCTCCCTAAGAGGGCGAAGGCCGCAGTGTCCTTGCTGCCGCCTGCAGGCCCGTGCAGAGCCCAGGGCTCTCCTGCGCCCAAAACTAAGGGAGACACAGAGAGCAAGAGAAGGGCGGCAGCAGCGCCGGGCTCAGCTCGAGCCTCCTTACCCAGTGGGCGGTGAGGCCAGCCGCCCTGGCCCGGAGCGCCGCGGAGAAGAACATGGCGGGCCACACTGTTCACCTTTCCCCGGCCGCGTCAGGCGAGAATCCCGAGCGAGCCCAGGTCGCACAGCGTGCGCGTTCCCGACCCCAGGCCTAGGCGTCCCGGGCGGCACGCCGCTCCCTACGCCGAGGGGCAGTGGCCGACGGGAGGGAGCGAGGGCGCGCGGGGGCTGCTGGGGCCCTGTGGGCGGAGACTTCCCGGGGGAGGGGCGGGGACCAGCCCGTGCTCGGAAAGGGCGGTGTCCCACGGGCTGCCGCAGGGGTCCCGGCCTTGAAAGGAAGTGTCCCGGAGCTGCGCCCTGGGCTCCTGGGTAACGAAGCGCCCGCCTGGATTTATAGGAGTGAGGTTCCCTCATGGAGAGCCTTGTGAGTTTTAGCCACCTCCTCTTATATTGCTGTTAGTTAAAAATAAATTCGGGTTGCAACCAACTATAAATCTTGTTCTACATGTTATAAATTCAAAACACAGAAGGCTGCTACCCAGTGTGCTAGCCATAGACACCAAATGTCTTGGTTCCCATTCTTTTGCATTAGAGATATGTGCGACATATTTAGGGGTGAAATGGTATGATGTCTGGAATTTGCTTGAGAATAGTGAGGAGTGGGAGGTGAAAAATAAAGCAAAGTTGGCCGTGAGTACGGCCATAGAAGCTGCATGGACGTTCTTATTTACTATTCTCGGTATTTTTGTACACATTAGATATTTTCCATAATAAAGCTGAAAAAAAAACCCCCCACTTCCTTCTTCATGTTTGTTAGGTTATCTCTGGAAATTCCAACAAGTATTTACTCAGTAACAGCTCTAATGTGCACAGCACAGTTTCCTGGTGTGGACTACCTCTTGATTTTTTACGTCACTGCCTTCTTTTCTGGAGTGTCAAGTCCTGTA